AATTTGCTAAAGGAGATTGCATGCAAGATTAATAAAAATGCTAAACTTACACTAAATGTTCTTTAAGTTCGAATTTAAACTAACTTATTTGGGCTTGATTAATGGAATCAACTACTTATTAGAAGATACTACTAATTGGATTCGAAACTGCCTAATGGAATCCGGACGTGACAGAGTTAAATTAAATGATTAAAAGCTATATTGCGTTTGTCCAGGTTAGTAGCAATCTACCTTATACATACAGAATATAACTAAAAATGAAGTCTAGTTATCGATATACCAACTACTAGTGCATTCCACGAATTACATAATTGCATCATACGTACAACTAAACAAGCTAAACCATTGTAAATCACAATAATTAAACAAACTAAGTTTTCAATTAGATACGAAACTACCTGCTGTATTTTCCTATTGAGTTACAACCTAAAGATTTGCACAAATCTACTAACACTTTATAAGACTATAGGTACAACACCAAATGACTGAAAAATTCTTCGCGTCTTTCATTTCATACTCATTGTTACTGTTACATCAGTGTGAGATTCAAAATGTGTACCTGGATGCTGAAATGCAAAGAAGAAGAAGAAGGTAGAGAAGTCAGCAGCAGTAGCAAAGGATAGCAACAACAAACAACAAATGCAGCAGCAGTGGCACCCCCAGGCTGAATAAACTAGCAGTAGCTCAATGAAACAGTACCCAATGTCCAAGTAAAAGACTCAATAAAGCCCCAGTTGAGACCCAGGAAACTCCGATGTTAATCAACAGGTAATAGATGAATCAGACACAATAATAGAACACAATTTCTGATTTTCAGACACTCAAAGGAAAGAAACCCAAGATTCGAATAGAACAAAGCAGTTGATGCTGGTTTCAAACAGAAAAAGTGAATCAAGGTAGAATTTTTAGCTTCTTCTTTTGTTCTCAAATCTCTTTTGGTCCCAAACCCCTTTTTCTTTTCAGTTTTTCTCTCTTCTCTCTTTCTGAACTCTCCACTGTCTGATTGATGTCCTCCCCCCTTAACTAATGGAAAACTTTCTGTTTTTATAGCCTCTATCAGCCCATTCAAACAGCCTGTTTAACAAACTGAACCCCCTCTCATGTTCTCCTCCTACTTTTCCACTCAAAAGATTAAAATAAAAGTATTCCCCATGAGATTCCCCTGATAGACCCTTTCTTTACTGCTAAAGTGGCCTGTCCCTTATTCTAATTAGCAAATATGGGCAGCCTGAATATGCCCTGACAGCACATGCTGTCAAATTTGCTCTAATTCAATAAAGAAACTATAATGCGCATGCTGCCCAAAAGTGCACATGCCATCAATTCAGACTCAACCCTGAACTGCAGCTATAACCCAATCCTTAAATGACTCTTGGTTCAACTAATCAGACCATGAGCAGTTAAAATCAATTCTTAGCTAACTCAAACAATGGCTTAGTAAAATTAAAAGCATGAGTCAGATTACTGTCATCCCAAGCTGAAACTAATTGACGACATACGTCGAATCGACTACGCGAATTACAACACATACAATCAATAGCTAATGATCAGAATCGAACAGTATTGAACAGGGGGTTTAGATTGCACTGTCAAAACAAGAAATGACCCTGTGAACTAATTAATCGATCGAAATTCATTTCAATCGATTACACTGTCAAACACATACACTTATCAATGAATAGCAAAAGGGATTCGACCAAATAAAGGGTCCGGGCAAGATGGACAGAACAGTCGACACAAAAATTCAAAATAAATCAACTAAATATTTGGACATATGAACAAACATTTAACTATAACAAAACAACAAAATGAACTGACAAGGAAAAGAAAAGCAGAAATACCTTAAAGGTTTGAAAAAATCAGAAGACCTTGTCTCAGATTTCGAATCAAAACTTCTTTTGGGGTTGAACAGACTTTAATTGAACTGTTCTCAACACTTCGATTAAGGTCCATTAGACCCTAATCTTCTCTTTCAAACGGACAAAAACTCGGACTCAGGACTTCTAGGGTTCCTAGGGCGGATTTGGGATTCAGGTTTTCCTGGTTGGATTCGGACCAAACCAAGCCTGGTTTAGTCACGAGGGAGGTCAGGGGAGTACCTGGCATGGATTTGGGGGGGTTTGGTGTAGGTCGAGGTTTGGTTCGAATCTTCAAATGAAGATTCGAGAATCTAGGGATTGATTCGAACTAAACGGTTGGTGGATTTGGATTCAGGGTGGTTGAGTGGTCTTAGGGTGTTAAAATGGTGGTCGGCGGCGTTGATGCCGCCGGGTTTCAAACGGGAGGGGACTAAGGCGGCTAGGGTTTCGTGGGGTTTGGGTCTGGTGAGGGAGACGACTCAAGGGAGGGGGGTGTTCGGATGGGGGCGTGGGGTAAGGTTTTGGGCTTATATAGTTAGTGAGTAATTAGATCCTGGCCGTTGGATGAAGTGAGATTGAGGGCTAGGATCGTTTAACTAATGAGGAACGGTGTCGTTCCAACTGAAGGGGGTTGGGTTTGTCCGGGGTTGAACGGGTCGGGTTTAAACAATGGGTATGGATATGGGATCTTGGCCGTTGATCATTCTGAGATCAACGGTCCAGATCAAATATGATTGGAACGACGTCGTTTGGGTGCCCCCGAGGCCAACCAAACTGGACCGGGCAAAGGCAATGTTTTTGGGCCTGATTTTGGGTCCAATTTAGTGGCCCAATTCCGATTTTAAACTCATTTCTTCTTTCTTCTTTTAATTTTGATTTAAATGAAATTCCTAACTAAAAAATGTAAAATCAAAAAATACAAAAATCACACAAATATTAATTAATATTCAAACAACAACTATCACTCATATTAAACATATATTATTGTATTTTGTTTTGACAAAACCAAACAAATCACAGACAAAACTACAGCTAACTGCCAAAACTGCCACGTAAAATTCAAAAAATTGTACAACAAAACCATTTATTTTATTTTTTGATTTCTTTTGGAGTAATTTCCGTGAAGCAAAAATCACGTGCTCACAGGGGGCACGACGCCTGCCCTCGAGAATATCGGGGCCATGACCCCAAGATCGGTCCAAACCCTAAAAAACTTCAGAGAGCACTATCGGGCAATCGAACATGATTAACGGAAGGCCGTAATATCTGTGACCAGTCGGGTATCACAATGTGGATATCGACACGTACCGGCGGGAATCCAGTGATTAGTTAAACGACAGATTTTTACCTTTTATGGAATTATACCTAGAGTAGCACTCCCCTACTATATAAAGGGGGTCTGACTATTCATTAAAAATATTGTAACATGTGTACCAAAGCAATATACTATTATTTTTGTGTTATTCAAAGCTCTTACGTTGTCGATCAGTATTTCGTTAATATAAGCCCGGGATCGAAGACGGATACCTCATTGAGGTTGCCCTCGAGTCTAGAATCATCCCCCTTATTTTCAAGCGGTTTGATAATTTATTACATCTATTATTTATTTATTCTAGCAATCTTTACCGTTTGTATTGAATAAATCCATGTATCCTTAAAATTACTTACAAATTTAATTGTTATCCATTTTTTAGGGTAAACAGATATCTCGGGATTTCCCATCTCTTCAGTGATTCCTAGACGAACTAATCGCGGAGGTCCTGTCACAAGTTCCTCCATAAGCATTTCAGTATCTATCTCAAAGCTGACAATCACTTCCTTAACTTGCTTTAATGAACTTATAATGTTCTTTCTCACGGTGGAAGTAGGAATAATGGAAGAAGGAAAGTGGAGAAAATTTTGAGGTTTTTCCTTTTCCTTAACACTAAATTCCACCAAACATTGGCAAGTGTCAACGTTTAGAATTAAAAATAAAACCAAACTAATCCGTTTGGTTTGACTTGTTTTAAGTGCTTTTAAGCCAAAATCGCTTTTAAGTCATTTTGTAGTGTTTGAATAAAATAAAAAAGTACTTTTAAGCACTTGTTTTTAGGCTAAAATAACAAAAACAAACCAAAATCCAAAAGTTAGGATTCCTAACTTTTGACTTAAAAACTATTTTGACTTAAAAGTCACTTAAAACAAGTCCATCCAAATGGGCCCTAAGCTTAAATACTTTTCAATTCTTAGATGATTTGGTTCAATTTTTTTGTTTTTATGAGTACCTTAATGGACAAAATGAGTTAATTAAAACAAACAAAATGAGTTACTTATTCAAACAAGGAAAAGACGAAATAGAAAAAGAAAAACAAGAAAACACAAAAGGAATTAGTGATGTAAGTGGAGTCTCTCACATAATAGCTTTGGCTTTCATTCCAACTTTGCTTTACTTTAGCCCAATTTAGTACGTTTTAATTTATGTGACAATATTTGATTAATATATAATTAAAAATAAATTAAAATTTTAAATTTGTGATATAAAATAAGTCACATATATTTATTTGATTGTTAATTATTTTATTAAAAGTAAAATAAAACTTTTAGAGTTAATAGCATTTTTTATCCCTCAACTGTGGTAAATTCTATTTTGGTCCTTGTGATAACTAACCAAGTGTATTAAAACCTCTAAGTTAACTAAAACTTGTGTTTTTGTGCGTTTAGGTAAGAAATATGTTATATATACTATCATTAAAACTATATTAGACACAAATATTTAGTAACAATATAAATCTAATTAAACTGTGCAATGGCTGATAATTCAGTAAATTTATGAATAGTTGCAAGTAGAAGGATTAAAAATGAACCAAAATTTAATTAGTTAAAGGTTCAATGTGCTTAATCAAATATCACAATGATTAAAATAGAGTTTATCAGTAATTGGGGACCAAAAGTGCTGTTATACCTAAATTATTTCTAAATATAAAAGGTGTTGTTTTACTGAACAAATTAAAAATGCAATGTGTCACATTAAATGAATGAGATAATTAAAAAAAAAATAGAAAAGGGGAGACAAATATCAAACAGATAGAGACTACAAAACTTGGCTAAAACCCACGCACCTGTGCATAGCTTCTCTTATCCGTTCAAAAACTCTGTAGTCAGTGGAAATGAATTCAGTTCCCTTTTCCATTGGAACATACATTCCTACAAAGCACAATAACACACTCAAATCTCCATTACTCTGTAACAAAAATTCTCAAACAAACGACTCAATTTCACTATCTTCATCTGTGAATAAACTCAAAGAGAAAAGTCAATTGCCTACTTTATTCAAAAGGAGAGAAGCTCTTAGTACACTTGGGTTGAGTATTGCTGCAACTGTTCTTGAGGCACTTTTGCAGCCACAGTCAAATATTGAAGCATTTGCTGAAGAAGAAGCTACAGCTACTGGATGTGAATTTACAGTTACTCCTTCTGGTCTTGCTTACTGTGATAAAGTTGTGGGTTATGGCCCTGAAGCTGTTAAAGGGCAGTTAATTAAGGTTTTTCTCTTTAAACTTCTATTTGATTTCATTATTTGCTTTTAATTTGTATCTTATAGTTATTAGATTAGAGCCAAAAAAAAGTTACTCACACCTAGTGTTTATTTCCAACTAAGTTAATTTAACTAAAAGGTGCATTGACCACAAATTGATGCGTTAATTAACCAAGTACTTGCATTAAGAAGCAATTTGTGTTTGGTTAATTAATCTGAAAAGCACTTTTGAGCAACAGTTAGTGTTTGGTCAAACTTTTAAAAAATATTTCTAATAGCCTGTTTGGCCAAACTTTTTTGGGTCAAAAGTGCTTTTTTCAGTCAAAAGTGTTTTTTTAAAAAAATTGAGGTGTTTGGCCAAGCATTTTTGAGAAAAATATACTTAGAACCAGTTTTAAAAGCTCGGTCAAACACTAATTACTGCTCAAAAGTGTTTTTCAAATTAATTAGCCAAACACAAACTGGTTATCACCAAAAGCACTTTTCAAAATAAGTTAATTTTAGAAGCTTGGCCAAACAGGCTATTAAACGCATTTTTCTCAAAAATGCTTTTGGGGAGAAGTTGCTTTTTTCTACACTGCTTCTACTTCTCCTCAAAAGCACGTTTTTTCTTCCAAAAGTGTGGCCAAATACTTTAACTTTGAAAAAAAATACTTTTTTTTTAACTTTTAGGTTTGGAAAAGCTTGGCCAATCAGGCTATAAAAAAGTGCTTTTGTTTCCTCTCTTTTCTTAAAGCAAGTACCAAGAGTTGCTGCAATTTGCTATATTACTTGAAAAAAAGTATGGTTAGGTATTATGCATCAAAGTGGGACGGAGCTAGATTATTAGATAGTTTTTGTTTAGACCTTGTACTTGCATTAGAAAATTCATTAAATATGTATAACTATTTAATTGCTAACCCAGAAACCAAGACGAGCTACAAGTTCGATGGTATGTTCAGAATCCATAAACTTCAAATTCTGACTTCGTCTCTGTGTATCAAAGGGGTGTCTTCAACTGAAGCATTTAATTTGAACTGAAATACCATTCGGATCATTGATGGGAGTGGAAGGGGGATAGCTAGAAAGAGAAAGTTGAGGTATAAGTTTCTATATAATTGTAAATGTGACAAGGGAAAGATTTGACGTGTAGAACTTCCAAAAATGGAATAGAATTAGTAAAATTGGATAAAAAACTTTTAGTTAGGAGATGATGAAAAGTTTTGCAAGTCATACAGGATTACTAAGTTTATGTGATTTCTCATACTCTCTTTATGCATTAAATATATATCCTTATTCTCAGTTAAGAGTTATTGAAAGCCAGAGTTCCAAAATTTGTCCTAAGAATCTATTTATGATTTATTTCAGGATTTTCCCTCTTTTGGTGTAAATAGTAGAGGGACATATATAAGAAGAAAAAAGGGTTTCTTAACTCATATTTGATCCTAGGTTTGACAATGGCCATTGACATGAGAACTTCAATAACCTAGGCCCTTAATGCAAGCTCGTTAAATTGTGCATATCATCTCATTTAAGACTTAAAATGCTAGATAAGAGATAGCTTTATGTAGTTATATTAGCTTTCAACATCGGGAAGATTGATTCCTGAAGTTGTTCCCACAAATTTGGTTCAATGGTAAGAGTGTAGTATGTGATACGTAGGTTAGGCTCACATCACGAGTTTGAGCCTTGTTGCGAACAAAAGCCTGCTATTTAAGTGAAGGTTAGACGGCTGGTCCAGTATTCATAGAGCTCCGAACCTTGGGTCAACTAGCCTTTAGTGATTTCTCGGTCATCAAGAAAAAGATTGAACCCAAAATTAAGTTATACTAGCTTTATAAGGGTAATTGAGGGTGAAAGTTGAAACCTGAAATGAATTTAATGGTTTTGGAAGATGTTCTCCGTTTATCTGGGGAGACTAGACATCTCAGCTCTCACCTAATTTTTCTTCTGGGCTATAATGAGTTGTATCAGATTACTGATATGTTATATTATGTTATGCAGGCACATTATGTGGGCAAACTGGAAAATGGGAACGTCTTCGATAGCAGCTACAACCGTGGAAAGCCTCTTACATTTCGTGTTGGTGTTGGCGAGGTTTGTTATTTTTCTATAGCAGTACTATCAGCTCTTGGAAATTTCTTCACCGTTTACTTTTCCCCTTATGAAAAAACAAAATGGCGTAGAAATTTCCATCAGCTCTAGGTGCAATCTTGTAGCCTGATACAACAAGATGAACAAGCCACAAGCTTCAGTAAAATATGAAGTGAAACTTTTCTCTACTATGTGAAATTTACAATGTCTAATAATAGATGATAGACTCATTTTTGCTGCTTATTTCCTCTTATAGGTTATTAAAGGTTGGGATCAGGGAATTTTAGGAGGTGATGGTTTTCCCCCAATGCTAACTGGTAGGAGCACATTTCATAGTTCAAATTCTATTATACTTTGAAATTAAAAGTAAATACTATCTCATCACTCAAATTTCAGGAGGAAAGCGTAAACTGAAGATTCCTCCAGAACTTGGATATGGAATGAGAGGAGCTGGCTGCAGAGGAGGTAAGCAAACATATCGAACAATACCAGTTGCATACTCCCGGGGCCGGCCTAAGGGCCAAGCAAGTAAAGCACTTGCTTAGGGCCCCTTATTTGTAGGGGCCCCAAAATTTTCTACAGTTAATGTATTTTGTCCCTTTTTTTAATAATATAAAGTATTTGAAAAGAAAAAAAATGCAAGTTTCAAGGAAAAGAGGCCGTTGGAGAACAATTGGAAAAAGGAATATATTTTTGCGATGAAAATTTTTAGAAGATAATGTACCCAGCCTAACTCTTAAACCGTTATCACAAACGCGTTGGGAAAGTCGCATTGAAAGTATTAAAGCAATACGATTTCAAACTCCACAAATAAAAAATGCTTTATTGAAATTAGTAGAGGCTAGTGAGTATCCTAAAACTAAAAGTGAAGCTAGTTGTTTAGCAACTTGTGAGCTTGAAAATTTTGAATTTTTACTAGGTATGACTATTTGGTATGATATACTATTTGCAGTTAATTCAGTTAGCAAACATTTACAATCAAAAGATATGCATATTGATGTTGGCATAGATTAACTTAGTGGTTTGATTTCTTTTTAAAAAAAATATAGAGAAGAAGGATTTGCAACTACCATGATTTCTGCTAAGGAAATTGCCTCAGCGGAAAGAAGTTTTTCAAAATTAAAACTAATAAAATCTTACTTAAGATCAATAATGTCTCAAGAGAGATTAAATGGATTAGCTATATTATCAATTGAAAAAGAATTATTAGAAGAAACCGATTATAAACAAATTATTAATAATTTTGCATCTCAAAAAGCTAGAAAAATAAATTTCAAATAAAATTATGAGTTTTCTTCTGCAACAAAAATTTAAGGGCCCCTCAATGAAGTTCGGCTTTAGGCCACAAATATCATTGAGCCGCCCCTGCATGCTCCCCTTGTCCCATTTTATGTGACGGCGTTTTGACTTTGCATGGAGTTCAAGAAACAAAGGATAGACATTTAGCACATAAGTTAAATTATCCATAGTACTAAAATTGTTCTCCATGTTCTTTCATATTATCTCTCCTCGTAAAAAAAAAGTGAACTGTTATATTAAGCTGAACATAGCTAGCTAGTCATTTCATCAAGGGTAAAATGAGAATGATAAGATTATAGAGTTTTCAAATATATATATATATATATATATATATTTGGTTTCCCACCCGGTGTCCGGTACCCGCATTGGAGCCCGACTATATCCGGAGTTTTCAAATATATATAAATGCGATAGTTTTTCTTGGGACAGACTAAAAAGGAAAAGCGTACCGCATAAAATGAGATGGATGGAGTTTTGGTAGGTTTAAATTTGCCTAACTACCTCGTATTGGTGGTTTAGGTACATGCATTATTCCTCCAAATTCAGTTCTATTGTTCGATGTGGAGTTCGTTGGCAAGGCTTAGGTTTCAGCAACAGAAGTATATATATAGTTTGTTAAAAGGAGCTATATTCATAAAATGATTCTTATTTGCAGCCAATTTGTGAGGGACAATTGTTAGATTAATTAGTTCATAAGAGGGTAAGCATTTTTGTAATTTGCAATGGAAAAAATACTGTCTGTTAATACTTGAGATCATCTCAGGAATTACAGAATGCATACCATATGGTGTTTGTGAATTCAATTTTACATTTACTAAAGCGATTATTTTGAAGTCTCCATTTTTGTAGTGCTTTTGATGTTTTAGTTTCCTCTAGCTGTTGCCTTACATATTAAAAGGGATTTTTGTCCTTTTTTCTTGAGCCGAGGGTCTATCGCAAACAGCTTCTCTAACTCTCTAGGTAGGGGTAAGGTCTGCTACACACTACAGTCCCCATATCTCACTCGTGGGATTATACAGGGTATGTTGTTGTTGTTGGATTTTTGTCCTTTTTACTAAGCAAGAACTTAGAAATTAGGCAAGAATAAAGAAACAGAAAGTTTTCACACTACTAATTATACTCCAGAATACTCGAACTAGAAAGGTCATAGATCATACTAAGTTGAAATTTAAATGTATAACTCATTCCACTTGCCTACTAACTTGAAACTCAGACTACTATGATTTACTTTCCTAAATTATAAAGTTGCAAATTGAAATACAGTATAACATCAGAACTGACATGTGATCATATTTTATCTCAACCATTACAATTATATAATTTTTGACCTAATTTTGAAATGTTACTCTACAATGAACCTCTTCTTTTTTTTCGTGAAGTAATTTTCGAGGGAAAGGCGAATATGGAGAGTCTCGGATACTTACTGTAAGTAGAAGAAAGGAAAAACTCTTCTAACGGACGATAGTAGGTTAGTTATCATTCACACCAGATTACCAACAACTAATGTTTATATCACGACTCAATTTTCCCTCCGTTGGGTTTCGTGACGGCACCTAGTCTTAAGGACTAGGTAAGTCTAATATTTACAGAAGAACAACAATAATGAATAACATCTTAAAATTCTACTGGAATGAATCCTTTATACAATGAACATATCCCCAAAGCCCGGTAGTATAAGTCATAAGTTCTACAGAGTTAGCTACCACTTATAAATATAACTGTTTGGAAAAGAATGAAAACAATTGAATACAAGTAAGGAGGTGACTCCGAAGCCTGCGAACGCAGCAGCATGTTTACCTTGTGTCTCCTCAGCAATGATCCGCACAGCTACTAACGATCGATACTTGGATCTGCACAATAAAAATGTACAGAAGAGTGGCATGAGCACACCACAGCGGTGCCCAGTAAGTATCAAGACTAACCTCGATGGAGTAGTGACGAGGAACAGTCAAGACACCTACCGATCCAATAAACTGTACAAATATAAGCATAAGAACAACAGAACATGATGTATATATAAAGACTACACGAAATGGCTAACAATACTTCAATCACAATAAGGGAAGAAAACAACAAGTAACAACAGAAATACCAAAATAATGACATAGAAGAGCGAGCGAAATCACAAACCCAAATCCTAAATCACAAATACAGTAAAGGTAAGCCATAACCCAGGCCCTACGACAGTGTTCACATCAGGTCTTAGCCAACAAACTCCACGAAATATCGAATCTCGGACAAATTGCAACTCACGGGTCCCAATACCTGAACCCTAATACTTGGCATCCTGTGCCCTCATCACATCTCATGGTTACGCTGACAACTCACTTGCTAACTAGAGCTACTCTCGCATATGTGACAAGTAAACGAGGGTGTACATCTATACTCAGCAATATCAGAAGAACTTCATATCCAATGGGAGTGTTCGACTACATGTATGCTTGTGCAAATGCTCTAACATAGTTTTTACAAGCTAATAAGCATAAGGAAAAGAACGGACAACACGTAAGATGTTTCTCACAACTTCCACGAGATAAAACTCATACATTTAAGCGTACCACAACACAATATCTCACAGCAAGCGGGTCCCAATACCTGAAGCCTAATACTTGGCATCCTGTGCCGTCATCACACCTCATGGTTACGCTGACAACTCACTTGCTAGCTAGAGCTACTCTCGTATATGTGACAAGTAAACGAGGGTGTACATCTGTACTCAGCAATATCAGAAGAACTTCATATCCAATGGGAGTGTTCGNAAAATCCCCCCCAAACTTAACTCTCAACCAATGTGGGACTTTGGCATTTTGCCAAACTTCAACACGGACAACACGTAAGATGTTTCTCACAACTTCCACGAGATAAAACTCATACAGGTAAGCGTACCACAACACAATATCTAACAGTAAGAATGCCCCAGGCCATCACAAATCATCACAATCAATCCCTGACATAGCCCACTTTGTCTCGCCATGTGTGCAATAATAATATAGTGATTTCCCCCTTTGTTTCGCCATACGTGCATCATAATGTTCCCACCTTGTCTCGCCATATGCACAACCCACATTTAAGCATATATACATATCCTTCCTTGTCACGCCGCATGTGCAATATATCAATAGTAGCAATAGCATGGCAGAAACCTCGTGCAACCCCACAACAACAACCGCACGGCAGAAACCTCGTGCACCACCACAACAAGTACAATAGCAACAATTACAATATATACAAGAACACGACAAGTAAATCAACTCAAGAACTTTCGATCACAAGGAGACGGTAAAACTAGCTCACAAGGAATAACCACAATAGAGAGTACTAAGCGTAATAAGAACAACTCAACAAGGGAAAAAAATAATATGAACCAACGATCCCACAATATGTAGTTCAACAACAAGGAAGCTAACACAGATAAAATAATTTCAAATAAGGAATTGTCAACTAAATATAGGATATCTAAACTTCTTTTAAGGTTGGGCAAATTACGAAGAATATACAAAAATTTCAATTAAGGATGAGCAGCGGGAAGATAATCACAACCTTAATTAAGACTAAACAATTACAGGAGAGATAATAATGATTTCCAATAAAGACAAGCAGTTATGAAAGATAGCATGACAATAGAAGAGGTAAAAATCTTCAATTAAGCAAAGTAAGAGTCAAATAGGCAATAAGAATGAATCATAAAACAATTAATTCAAATTAAAGCGTGAAGAGGTGAAACTAGTAAATGAAAAACTCAATCACATCAAGAATAACTTCATACTCAGTGAATATAAGGGCCTAAGAATTCTAAAAGGCCAACTTTCCACAAATAATTCCGAATACGCACTTGTCACCTCGCGTACACGGACTACAATCAACATAGAAGACTCAAATTTTAAGGGGAAGTCCCCAGTCCCCACAAGGTTAGGCAAGATACTTGCTTCAAAGACGACAAATCGATACTCAAAAATGCACTTCTCAGGTGAAAAGACCTCCGGCTCAAATCTAACCAAATTAACTTCAAAGCACAAACAAAACGCATAAGAAACTATTTCGGATCATAAAGTCTCAATCTTTAACAAAATCCAAAAAATCGGTCCAAACGTCGACCCTAGGACCCACACCTCGGAACCCAATAAATTTTACAAAAACCGAATACCCATTCCGATACGAGTTCAACCATATAAAATTTATCAAATTCCGATACTATTTGGTCCCTCAAATCACGATTTTTCATTTTAGAAATTTTCTTCAAAAACCAACTCTTTCCCCAACCCAAAACACAATTTAAATGATAAAAAATGGATAAAATCATGGAATATGTTTGATTCTAGGTGAAGAAAACTTATCCAATCGATTTGTGTGAAAACCCCTCAAAGAATCGCTCAAAACCGAGCTCCACAAGTCAAGTCATGATGAAAATGGTGTAACCCTCGATTTTGGAATATATTCTGCCCGCCCAGATATTTGTTCATCGCGAACGTGGAGGGAGAAAAAAAATGAAGCCTGCCCAGGTTGCTCATCGCGAACGCGACAATGCGTCCGCGAACGCAACAATACGTCCGCGAACGCGAAGAAGAAAAGTCTGATGGCCCAAAGACTGCTCTTCGCGAACGCGTGAAATAATACGCGAACACGAAGGGTGGGATGACATAACTACGCGAACGCGATGAAGGAAGAGACAGAGCTTCGCAAATGCGAAGAAGGAAAATTGAGGTGACCAACAGAGACACTTCGCGAACGCGGAAGGGGCTTCGTGGACGCGAAAGAGGATATCAGACACCAGAAAACAACAGTTCAAAAACAAGGAAAAATGACTCGTAACCCACCCGGAACACACCCGAGGCCCCCAGGACCCCGTCTAAACACACAAACAAGTCATATAACCTAACACGGACTCGCTCGAGGTCTCAAATCATATCAAACAACGCTGAAACGACGAATCACACCATGAATTGAACTTAGGAACTTTCAAACCTTCAAACTTCCAAAACACGCGCCGAAACCTATCAAATCAATCGGAATGACGCCAAATTTTGCAGACAAGTCCAAAATGACATAACGGAGCTGCTCCAACTCTCGGAATTGCATTCCGACCCCGATATCACAAAAGTCAACCATGGGTCAAACTTCTCCATTTTCCAAACTTCAACTTTTTCCAACTTTCACCGAAACGCCTCAAATTATTCTATGGACCTCCAAATCCGAATCCGAATACACGCCTACGTCCAAAATCACCATACGAAGCTGTTGAGATCACCCACAACCCATTTCGGGGCCGTTTACTCAAAAGTCCAATTCCGATCAAATTCGCACCGTTTAAGTTTCCAAAACAAGAATCCTTCTTTCAATTCGACTCTGAATCCCCCGGTAACTGAATTCAACCATGCACGCAAGTCGATACACATAATACGAAGTTGCTCCAGACCTTACGCCGCTAAACGAAGCTTAAATTCTCAAAATGACCAGACGAGTCATTACAGTTTATCATGATATTTACCTGTAATTACCTAATAAGATACTTCTTTGTGTAAATAATTTATTATTACATGTTCAATGTATACAACTTAACTAAACTCACAATGTTTTTCCCTTTCAATGCTTTTTGATCTTTCATCTACTTCATCTGCTTACCCACATTACATGGGCAAAATGAGGGTACAATTTGAATAGCGAGGATACATACAATTGAGTTTGTTGGGACATTGAATTTTAGTTATCATATGGTTAAATTGAAAAATGAGGGTACAATCTGGTTATATAATTTGGTTACACGAAATTGCACGGTTGACTTGTAATCTTATAAAATTTTCTATTCGTTGTGATATCAGTAATCAGACTCACAGATCAAAGGC